AGGGGAATTTGGGGAGGTGGGAGGGGGGAGCGCCAAGGCCGGGCCCCCCCGCGCTGTGGTGGCGGGAGCGGCTGCAGTGGGGAGCGAGTGCGGGCGGAAGCGGCCGAGAGCCCAGCGCTGCCCCAGGCCGAGCTGGCCCAGCTGCATCCGTGCCCCTGCGGTGGGATGCTGTGGGACTGGGGGGGAAGAGGGAGGCGGCAGTGGGTGCTGGGCCTGGGGGCAGGAGGAGAAGGGAAGGAGAAGCAGGGTTGAGGAACAAAACGGTCAAAGGATGCACGTGGGAGGAGAAGGTGGGATTGTGCAGGAGGAGGAGAAATAGTAGGAGGAAGAGGAGTGTGAGGAAGAGTAGGGCCACAGGAGGAGGAGGAGGAGCAGGAAGAGGAAGAAGCACAAGGTTCCTCCCTCCCTGTATGTGCAGTCCCAGGAGTGTTTCCCTGCCCACAGTCAGCAGGTGACTGGGGAGGGGTTCCACAATTTTCACTGGGCTGAATCTTGGTGTTTCTGAGCTTTATTGGGATAAATGTTGGTGGTTTGTTTTTTTGCAGGGGCTGAATCTTTCTGTTCTGGAGGGGGTTTTTCCTGGATTTGCTGTTTGGTAGTTTTTGATCTTTTTTTTGATGTTTGGAGGATGTTTGGACTGAATCTTGGTGTTTTGGTTTGTTACAGACAGCAGATGCCCAATGACTTTCTGAGATGAACTTGGGCAAGGAGGAACCCCCAGTCCAAGGCGTTCTCCTCTCTTTTTTTCCTCCTAACCAGGAATTTTCCTTCCCAAACTGTGTCCAGATGGAAGAGGAGGAGAAAAAGCCACAGAGATCCCCCACAAGGAGGGTCTGCAAACCCAGTCCAGGGAGCTGCGAGGAGGAAAGATCCCCCCAGTGCCAGGAACACGGCCAGAGATCCAGCCGGAGCTCAGAGCTGGGGGAGAAGCCCCACAAGTGCTTGGAATGTGGGAAGGGTTTCAGCTACAGGTCTAGCCTGATCCGACACCAGGTAATCCACACTGGGGAAAAGCCCTACGAGTGCTTGGAATGTGGGAAGAGCTTCAGCCAGAGCTCCTACCTGAGGAATCACCAGGTGATCCACACTGGGGAACGGCCCTTTGAGTGTGGAAAATGTGGGAAGAGTTTCAGAGATATCTTTGGCCTGATGAGACATCAGGTGATCCACACGGGGGAACGGCCCTACACCTGCTTGGAATGTGGGAAGAATTTTGGTCACAGCGCCAGTCTGAGGGTACACCAGCGCATCCACACTGGGGAGAGGCCCTACGAGTGTCCCAAGTGTGGGAAGAGGTTTCGGACCAGCTCCGATGTCCTCCAACATGAGCGGATTCACACAGACGAGAGGCCCTTCCGCTGCCCCGACTGCGGGAAGGGCTTCAAGTACAACTCCGACCTCACCGTCCACCGGCGCATCCACACTGGGGAGAGGCCCTACGAGTGTCCCCAGTGTGGGAAGAGCTTCTCCGGGAGCTCTGACTTGACCAAACACCAACGGAGGCACCAGTAAGGGAAGCCCTGTGAGTGCCCTGAGTGCGGGAAGAGCTTCGTGCGCTGCTCCAGCTCCATCCCCCATGGGAGGATGGGCGTTGGATGATCCCCAGTGACCCCCGTTGGGCAGAGCCCTGGTGATCCGTGGTCCTGGTGATGCGTGTTGGGAAGACACCTGGCTGGGAGGCTCCACATCTTCCTGGCTCCCTGTGGGCACCTGGATGAACACAGGTGCAGGAACATCCATTGGGACACAGATCAACAATGGGAATTCCTTTGGGAGAGTGGATTTGTTGACTTTCAGTCCTAGTGAACCTTTTCCTGCTGCCTCAGGAGCTCTGTGGGCAGAGAAAAGGGGGTGATACCAGAGTGGGGGTCCCTGGAGGGAGCACACACGTTCTTGGGGAGGGAGGACATGACCCCTGGGACCCCCCCTCACCTTTTTGCTCAGGCAGAAGCTGAGCCCCAGTGCCAGGAAGACGAAGCCCAACAAAAAGCCCCCGATCCTCATCAGCTGTGAGCGGTGTCTGACAGCATCCCTGGGGGGTCTGCAGAGGTCAGGACCCCCAAAACCTCTCACAGACACCCCAAGCCACTCCAAAGACCCTCCCAGTCTCTCCCAGCCCACCCAGGACCCTCTGAAATCTCCTTTGGAGTCACTAATTTAAAAAAATTAAGAATTTTAGAAAAATTAGAGTTCTTAGCTAGAGATAGGCCTTGCTGGAACTAGTTAATGATTAAGTGAGAAGCGGGATCTGAGATAATGAATCTCAGACTTAGGTAAAAAATTCCTTTTCACTGTATGTTTGTTCAACTGTGCTTATAATGAGAAAAGAGAAACTGATAAACGGGTTCAGGAAGATCACAGACCTTACATCTGGAAACCCATTTTAAAGTCACAAGGGAGAAAATTGGAGTTGTACCAAATGTCATTTGTAATGTCAACCATTGTAAAGGTAGAAAGGTGAGAGTGAGGAAGAGCGGTTTTCCTTCATCTCTTGATGACCCCTCCTCACCAAAATGACCCCCTCCTCAAATTAGAGAGGTCTCATCTGTGTATTGAAAGGGTTAATATCTTGCCCAGGCCTGTGGCTGGTTACTCGCTCTCTGCTGGGGCAGCTGCCTGAGCTGTTCCTGCTGGATGATTTTCCCGTGGCTGCACTGGGATCTCAGCAGCCAGGCCAGCACTCAGAGGCAGCTTCAGCTCCTCCTGCCCGGCAGCTTCTGCTGAAACTCAGCGGCAGGAGAATTTCAGCCGAGCCGGGGGCTGGCCCGGCCCAGCAGCGCAGCTGGAAAGGGCTCGGCGGCCCCCGGGAACGGGACCCAGAGGCTTCCCGGGAGGGGCCAGCGCTGCAGCAGAGCCCGGCCCGGCCCCGCCAGGGCCCAACAGGGGCCGGACCCCCGATACCTGCTCAGGGCCAGAAGAAAAAGAGAAAGAGGTTCCCAGGCTTGGGTTTTTGAAATGTGGTACTCACAGAGGCAGATCTAATTTTGAATGGTAAAAAACGTTGTCAGTTCTCAGAATGAGCCAAATATTCTCACCCTGAAGAATCTCATTAAGAAGAACCTAAAGCACAGTGGATATCCTGCTGCAGTTTGGTGGTTTTTTTCATTCCTACATAGTCTACATAATGTTTGAAATAAGTAGTGTTATAAATGACTTTCAAATTTCCAAACAATCAATCTAATTAATTGATAAAATACTTTAATAAATTTGAAACAAAATAATAAAAGAATACAATTTAGTAAAAGAATACAATTTAGTAAGAAAGCTACAATTTAGTAAATATATTCAGGTACATATTTTTCTATATATATGTGCTGTTGAAGAATGGCTCGCTTCTCGATGCCACAGCTCCTTGGAAGGCCTGCACAACCCTGACTTTGAGCTAGCATAAGTCCTTGGCAAAATATTGTATCAGAGAAATGAAGAAGACTAAGTGTTAATAAGACAATGAAGAATAAGAATTTAGGGTGAGAAATCTGCTAAATGTATCTTAATAAGCTTTACTAAAAGGTATCTTCTAGAGCTTGGGTGTTATGAGCTGGACCAATAGAAATGTAGAAATTAATGTGTGAAAACCAGCAATTATTCAATCATAGTAGAATACAGATGGCATGTTAGCTTTTCAAAATACTATAAAAATGTAGCTAAGATTGTAATAAATTTGGAACAAGCTGCTAACTCACACTGGGTCGTCTCTTGATTCCTGAACCTGTCTCCTACATTTTGTCGCCCAAAACAGGGACCCAGGGATTACAAATAAAGCCTGCACGTTGCCTGAGGACCTTGTCAAGAGGCTCAGTATTTCAGAAATGCAGTAAAAGAATCCAGTGGATTCTGGATTAAGGAGAGAAGGCGATTCGGCACAAAGAGCCTGGAGAGGTTAAGAGGATCTGAGGGCCATCCTCCAAAGTGCCGGTAAGACCGCTGCCTCGGGAAACGGATAGAGAGGCGGCATTATCGCTGCTGGCAGAATTTCTCACTAAGCGAGAGGCCAGTGTGAGCACAAAAAAGCTCCAAGAGCTATGTAAATGGGCAAAAGAGAAGGGATTTATGCAAGATCCCACAGAAATCTTTAACCGAACAGAGTGGCAAAAAATTGGAGATGCCTTATGGGATGCCACTATTGATGGCACTAAATCTGCTAGAGACCTTGCTACCACTTGGAGAGAAATTATTCATGCCCTAAATCAATACCAAGCTGAAAAACGTATGGCACTAGCTGCACAAAAAATGTTAGGAGGGGAAGATATAGAAGTGTCAGCAAAATCAAGTTCTCATTTATTCACTGACCCTAGCCCTGCAAAAGGTATTAAAGTGCCTGAGAAATTGCCAATCAAGAGACAGGACTGACCTCAGTAACTCCAAATGCACCCCCCTTATCTCCTGTGAACAAACAACGCAACACAGAAACAGGAGGCAAAGACTGTACAATTTCCCAATACCGTACAACTAGTGCTAAAAACTCTGAGGATGAAAGCTCAGCTGACGAAGCTGATGGAACACCCTCTGATATTACAGTTCCAAAACATGAGAGGCCATCAGATAAACTTTTAGAAAAAGTAATTAAGAAAACAAGCAATCTAAATACTCATGGAAGGCAGCCAGTAGGTGACATGATAATCACCACCTCAGGGGGAATGGAAATACGACCAGTCGAATCTCACAGTCACTGGTCTGCAGTAATCAGGGATGCTATTTTAGAAGGACAATGGGAAGCTGCAGCTGCCTGTTCTCCACATGCCTATCCAGTACAGCAAGGAACTCTTGCTAATGGCCAGCCTGGAGCACAATATACACCTTTTGAATGGAAATTAATGCAGCAATTATGAAATACAGTTACTCAATATGGACTACATTCAGAGCCCTCTAAGCAAACGATTAATTATATCTTTGCGTCTAATGTTTTGTCACCTGACGATTGTATGGCCATAGCAAAACTATTACTCACTCCCTCACAGTATGTATTGTGGGAGCGAGAATGGGAATCTGGCTGTAAGAGAATTATAAATACACCACGACAGCCAATTGATCCTCTTCATGGTGCCACTATCGATATGTTAATGGGCAAAGGTATCTATGCCTCAGCGGCACAGCAATTACAATTTCCAGCAGATTTGCATAATGCATCTGCTGAGGAAGCAAAGCAAGCCCTGTGGAGGATTCCAGCTGATAAAAGAGCACCAAGCTACACCACTGTCAAACAGGGAATGAATGAGTCTTTTGACTCTTTTATTAACAGACTTGTTGTTTCACTTGATCAGGCAACAGACCTAACTGCTGAAGTACGAGAACAATTAACAAGGACTTTTGCATTTGAGAATGCAAATCCAAAAGCTAAAATGATACTAGCTACTCTCCCACGCACAGCTGACTGGGGAACAATGTTAGAATGCATGTCCAATGCAGTGTATCAACAGCAAGCTGCTTT